ATATAAATCCAGCATCAACAGGATTATTGATAACTGAATTTCAGTGTTCACCACGTTAAAACCAGATTTCTACTGTTTGAGCTGTACTGAATACAAGCCCTAATTCTGTCAGCCAAACCTAGAAAATTGGTTAAAATACTAGGTATTCTACTCACAGGCTCTATTAGAAAGCACTTCAGAGGTATGCAGAAATGTGTACACAAAAACATCATCCCGAAAGTGGTTCTAACGAGGCACTTCGGGGTCTAAGAGGCCACCTATGGGTCCGAGGGGCCACTCTGGGGTTCTCATGACGCTCTTGAGGGGACCTCAGGGGCCGGGGAGCATTTGGGAGAACTTGGGGGTCTGTAAACCCGGCTATAACGGGGTCCGTGGGGCGCGGGGCTGACGGGAGTTGAAGGCGCATCTAGAATGGCTGTAGTCCCTGAATTTGCATTATCAGACTCCGTGAGGAAGGAGGTCGCTGTGTGCCCAGCAAAACGTCAGGGGGATCTTACGCCAAGGGCCCCGCAGGGGTCTGGGGGGGCTCTCAGGGACCCCAAGTGGCTTTTGGGGGCCGCAGTCCCGCATGGATCGGGTCTGGGAGGCCGCGGAGCATCATGGGAAGTGCAGGCGCGGCTGTGATTGGCTCTGTGGAGCCGCGGGGCACGACGGGAGCTGAAGTCCCGGAGTAGTTCAACGGCTCTCTGGGGCTGGAAGAGGGGTGCGGGGGCCCAGAAGAGCCCACAGGTGGCATTCAGAGCTCAGGAGAGGCTCTTCGTGGTCCCGAGAGGGCACACGGGGGACACTGAGGGGACACTGACGGAGCTCAAAGGGGCCGCGGGGCAGGACGGCAGTTTAAGTCCAAGAAGCCGCTAAAATGGCGCGGCTCGAAAGCACCGCCCCCCGCCCGTTCCCGAGCAGTGATTTCGTGCGAGTGGTGACGGGCGGGCCCGGCCGCCAATTGGAGGCGGCGGGGGCGGGAAGCGGAGGCGCTGGGGGCCCCTCAGGGAGGCGGCGGATTTTGGGGCTATTTGAGGACTTTGGGGGGTTTGGGGGCACACGGGGGGGTTGGGGGGTCCCTCATGACCCCCTCAACCGTCCCGGGAACCCCCGGCGCCCTGTTGGCCGTGAACGTAAAGGCGGAGAAATCAGACGAGTCCTGTCCTCCGCGGTTCCCCCCCGGGACCCCCAAATCCCGCCGGACCCTCCCCAGACAAGGCGGGAAGGGAAAGGGGTCCCGGGGGCGCTGCCCGCCCTCGCCGGGGGCACTTCAGTGCTGATGCTCCTCCGTGGTTGTGCCTGCAGGGACTGGAACGGGGATGTTTGTCCCAGGAAAGCACTGCCCCATCTTGTGGGAAAAATCTCTCACTGGAATTTAAAGAGACGGCAACAACTCATGAAACAAACAAAAAGAGAGAATTTATTCATCTTGCTTGGTCTAGTCTCACACCAAATTTCCGAGGTGAAAAGACTCCTTGAGATTAGATTTCATGCATTTTATAGTTTCACAAAATTCCACCCCTTTTCAGATTAGTTTAATTTATTCATTTTTGCCTAAAAAGGTTTCTTTTCTCCGAAAAAAGGGCTTTTCTCTCCTTCCGATTGGCTGCGAGGTGTCCTCTGTCAAAAGTGGTGGATCTTCCTTTGTTCTCAGCCCAAAGGAAAAAACGTCTGTTCAAAAGTTTCAAAATAGCCCAGAAAGGTTTCAGTTTTCATGAACTTTATATTTCACTTATCCCGGCTGCAAAGGAGCCCTGGTACCTCAGTACTTTACAACTTCACTAAATGCCTATAATTTTCTTGGTAATACAAAGACCGTGGTTTTATTTCTTATAATCTCCACACGGCCCCTGCTCCACTCATCTTGTTCTCCCTCTCTCCCCTGCAGTCCCTGGGCGGCTCCGGAGCCCTCGGGCTGTGTGTGTGTGACACATTCACATCAGCCCCTTCCTGGCTCCTACACAGCCCAGCCATAAATTGCTGCTGTGATCTTGCTATCAGGTCATGAACAGGTCTTTTAAAGTGTGACTGATTTAGAAACTGAACTTCTCAGGGCCCTTCCCCATCTTCATTGCCCTCCTTTGGACACTCTCCAATGGCTCAATCTCTCCCTTCCATTGTGTCCCCCCCAAACTGCCCCAGTCTTGCAGGTGAGGCCGCCCCAGGGCAGAGCAGAGCGGGACAATCCCCTCCCTGATGCCCCCAGCACAGGCTTGGCCCTCCTGGCTGCCAGGGCACTGCTGACTCAGGGCAAACTGGCACCCACCAGCACCCCCAGGGCCCTTCCCTGACTCTGCTTCCCAGCCTCTCATTCCCAGTGTGTCCGTCCAGCCAGGGTTGCCCCATCCCAGGGCAGGATCCGACCCTTCCCCCTGGGGAAGTTCTCAGGGCTCCTCAAGAGCCGGGAGGTCACTTTGCTGTCCCAGGGGCTCCATGGGGACCTCCCAGGGCTCGTCCTGAGCAATCTCCTGGAATCAAAGGCTCTGTGGGGACACTGCAGGGCCATGTGGAGTCCAGGGGCCATTGGGACACTGAGGAAACTGATGGAATGAAGGGATGACTATTACACTGCTGAATCCCAGGGATGGACTTGATCATCTTGGAGGTCACTTCCAAACCAGTAAATTCTACGATTCTATAATTCTATGAATCAAAGGGCTCTTGTGACCCTGCAGGGCCTCCTGGAGCTGAAGGGACCATTGTGACACTGTCAAACCTGGCAAAGCAAGGGCCCAGTGAGACAGTGCAGGTCCTCAATGAACCCAAGGTAGCATGGAAATCACAAAAACTGATGGCATCAAGGGGTCACTGTGACACTGTGGGAACTCATGAAATAATGGGGCCATTGGGACACTGCAGGGTCTCCTGGCACCTTGTTTGTTGGAAAACACGAAGGGATGTGTGGGAGTGTTTCACTGAGAACCAGGAGAATTTTGGAGATGGACCTTTACACACCCAAATACTGATGTGTCCACGCATCTCTGCCTGGGTGTGGGTGTTGTTGCCTTAAGAGACCATGGAGAAAAAAACTCCAGGCCAATTTAGGTAGGAGATAAGATAAAGAGACCTGATCCTTTAATGAGTTGTTAGGTCTAGAGGAACACATACTACCTGTGCCCCCTCAGACAGAGGTTCTATGATTTATAAAAGGTTCATCCAATCCCAGGTTTATGCAACCCATGGTTCTGCCCCATTCTGCCCCCTGACACACCCCTTCAGGAATTGGGTTTGTTGTCTTTGGGACCCCCTCTTCCTCATCTTCATCTTCTTCGCAGCACACACAATCCTGAGTGTTTCTAAAAAGTTCTGCCGAGAAGGTCACCGTGTCTGTGTGATATCTTCTGGTCGAGGCCTTGGGATGTTTTTCTACAGTTCTACGCTGAAAAGAAGACTAAAAATGGAGTTTAGAGGGACTGATATTGAATGGGGTAGGAGGGTTGGGTATGTGTAAATACTATGTTAAGGGTAAGGGATATAATACAGCTACATTAAAATATATTCACCACACAGCTAGTTCTAAAATCCACAAAAGTTAAAAAAAAAAAAAAAGATCTGAGATATCAATGTGAATTGACTGAGGTGTGAGTGTTGTTATTGTCAATCTTTAATTCAGTCTCTGTTCAGCTCTAGTAAATGCTATTGAATCCCTTGATAACTGTTAAGTTGGTCAGTGATTAGGTGCTACTAATCTCTTTTGCCCCCTTATCTTTGTGTACAAATCCTTTGCACCCTGATCCTCTTGCATCCCAAGGCTCTGTGGAAATTATGGCCTTTCATAAAAAAATAGCTATTTTTTGCGAGCTGGTCTTTGAAATTTTCCTCCTTAGCTAAACAAAAAAACAACTCCAATTAGTTATTGAAGACATGAAGACATGAAGACAATTAAAAAAAAAGAAAAATAATTTGTTTTTCTGTATTTTAATGAGTCCCACGGTGTGTTTAGAGACAAGTCCATCATCCTCAAGTAAAGAGAGAAGACTGAAGAAGCTGCTCAAGAAGTCAGAAGCCAAAGCCCAAGCCCCTTGAAGCATTGCTGGGC